AATATTGAATTCAGTACAAACTTGAACATATTTGGAGTTGAAGATGGTAGCCTGGCCTGGTAATGAAATGTTTGGAAACCAACCCACAAGCTCAGAGAACAAACCTTCACCCCCCTCCTACACCTGAGCTATTTGCCACTATTCCATATATCTTTCTACGTCTATATTATTATTTACTTCGGTCTCTCTGTATGTGTAATAGTATACCAAATACATAGATTTATGCAGCACTGCATTCATAGGTTATGCATTTATTATCTTAATGGCATCAATATCATGTACCAATGATAAATTTATATCTGTGCTATTTCCTTACATTTTAGTTATTCTTATATTAGGACAGTGAGATGGCTTTAATTTTAATTTTGATAGTAAATTTTATTGGTCAATGACAAAAGTAAAAAATGTTATGTACCTAGGAGATGCTCACTGACATCAGTGAGATTCAGTAATCTGTACAGATTACAGCACTTCTAATGGGGAATGCAATGTGTAATGAGATCTCCGTGCATACAAGAATCCCTTATATTTAAACTATCATGATAAAAAATGATAAATGATTTTAAAAAATCACCTTCCAAAAGCATACCTTTTGCTTGAGTATCAGAAACATCTTTCTTCTCATGAATTCTCTTTTTTTCTTCTCCCACTTCTAAAATATGAAAAACATGGACAGAAGTAGCTGAATACTACTGAATAAACTGAAAAAGAGGCTCAACTCATTCTGTTCATTCAACAAAAAACAGCCATAATTTAGAGTTCTGCCTCAGCAGGCATTTAGTTTACACTTCATGAAGAATGCATGTATTCTTTCATTTAAATTGTTATCCCCTACAGAATAGTTTAGGAAATGTTCCACAAAATATAAAGCAAAATAATTAAGATTCAAATGCACTTGTATTTCCCTATGTATATAAAAACTCCCTTTTCACGAGCCTGTATCCCTTAATTCAGGGTAAAGTTGGAGCGACTGGATAGAACTGAGTGTTTACTGGCTAGATGCCCTTCCTGATACCTACATGGAGTTCACAGCAGATATTTTTTGTTTGTACCCTAAGAGACAAATATTGCTGGTGCCTAGGACTGAACTATTAACTTATGGTCAAGGTAAATTCGCACCAGTGAAAAGTTAATAGACTTCAAGGGAGGGCTGGACTTAGATCTTTCAGGGGCATAGGATCCCAGAATGATGGTGCGTTTGATCCCACCCTTGGGTTCAGCCTGATCCTCTCCTTCCATATGCCATGGAATTCGGTCAAAAAAGGTCAAAATGGCAGTTCTGATTGTGCAATTGAAGCTTCACTCTTCCTTTTATGAGCATCACATATATACACATATATTCTAATCTCCATCTGATTAAAGTGGTGATTCTATGACTACTTGATTATTTGGTCCAAATTTGTTATACTTCAGAAATAACCTCTACCTATATAATATATTTAATTCAACAGCAATCTAGTAATGCAATAGTTATGCAAATAACTTACCTTTCTTTTTAATTTCAGGAATACCTTTCTTCTCAGCAGTTACTTTTTTCCTCTCTTCTTCTAAGATATAAATCAAAAGGTAATTAATTGGTTTCATTTTGTTTAAATACAATAGGCAGAGCAGAACCCTTTAAAGATGAAGCAAATTAATAGCTTTATTTTAAAATAATAAATAACCTACCTTTTCTTATAACTTGTGGAATAGCTTTCTTTTCTCGAACCACCTTTTTTCCTTTTTCCACTTCTAAAGAATAAATTTAAAAGGAAATTATTTCAGAGTGCATTTTTATTCAAGAATTAGTAGTCAAAATGACAGAACCCTTTCTAGTTCTGCACTTGGAGAAATAAAATACCTCTGAATCTAAAAATAAAATAAACAGCACAAAATGTTGCCTAGTCAACAGCTTATTCATTTTAATGGAGGAAAAAGATTTCATACAGAAGTGGGGAATGCTAGGAAAAACAACTTCAGAAGGGTATTTTTTTAAGTAGACTAATGCCATACTATGCAGTGCAGTTGATAGGTATTTGAATGGAGGGATAATTGAATTTCTGGATGTCCCAGGATAATTTTGATACACTTGGGCTTAGTATTTACCTTATTAGGGACAGAAAACTTTGATCATCTGTGATCATAATTGGGCACAAATACTATGTTTATTTTGTTCTTTAAGGTTGAAAGCAAAATTTCAGCATCGCTGGATTTCATTGTGATTAGCCATTATATCTGATGATCAGAGCATTGGCTGGGATAGAATTTAGATGCATTTTTTAATGGTCAGTCTTGATGTTGTTGGAAAAGTGGTCTCAGAAGGTGATCCCTCAATCTCTCTACTGCTCGTTCTATTTAATGTCTATAATAAACTACACTAGGAAACTATCCAGGTTTTAAAGCTTTGATACTTCTACATTTTGGTGATAATCCTCTCTACATCTCTCTTTTTCATCCAAATAGATCCAACCATCTGATATAGATATCTGATATTATAATGAAGTGGATGAGGGCAAATGCCTTTACACTTCATCCACCTAAGGAATAGATGATCCTGGCAATCTACAGTTCTATGCTGGGTGGGATGCGACCTCTCCAAAACCTCAGGTTCAAAATTTAGATGTGCTCTTTGTTTCTTTTCTGAAAGTAAATGTGGTTAAAGATGCTGAGCTTGTCACCTGGAAAGCTGACAGCCCAGGTTTGTGAACTGAGCACCGCGCAATTGGGTGAGCTTCTGTTCTTGCCTCAGCTCCTGCCCACCTAGCAGTTTGAAAGCATCCAATGTGAGTATATTAATAGGTACCACTTTTGTGGGAAGGTAGGAACATTCTGTGCACCTTTGGTGTATAGCCATGCTGGCCACATGCCATAGACAGACGTCCAGTCTTGCGCACTAGCGCAGCAGCCAAGGGATTTCGGGGCTCCGTGCCCTTTGGCTGAAATTCTTCCTGTTAGGGGACTCTAAATGGGCCAGAAGCCACCCCAAAGAGGCGGCAAAGAAGGAAGGAAGTCCCGTGGACCACGGAGAGACGGCGGTCGACCCAATCGGTCCAGGAGAAGCCTTCCAGAAACCAACAGGAGAAAAACTAGCCTAACTTCAGAGTCTAGCCCAAGCTACAAGCAACAAAAGTCAAAAAGCACTATTTTAAGCTGATTGTAAACAGTGCGTTTGAATCTGGGTAAGATCATCAATTTTCTCTATCCTACTTATTAACTTTCCTGGGGAAAAATTTTTTCCAAGAAGCAAAAAACCTCCGCACATGAAGGAGGGGGATTTTTGCCCCACCCTTTTACTAAAGGAAGTGGCAAATTAAACCTTTTATGGAGAACCAAAACATACAGAAATGAAATGAAATAAATATAAAACCTAAATTTGGATAAGTTTGGAATTGTTGAATGGTTAAGATTCTCATTTTAAAGGCAATTTTCTATTTTGATCATTTGAAAAATAAACTGGTGCTGACATCTAGTGGTGGATAAAGACTATGACAGCTATGGCTTTTATACAGGACTTGGCAAAATCTGGAAAAAACTAATCTGTGCTTGCGACCTTCAAAGCTATAACAATAAAGAACAGCAGTAACAAAAAAAAAAGAAAACCATTTGGGTTGCAGACAAAGAGAGGATTATAAAGTTCAGGAGACCTTTTTGAACCTTTTTGGATTATAAATATCTACTAAACTGTGACTCTAAAACTATTTGCAGAGAAAAGAAAACCTCGATTCTTGACCACTAAGGAAAATCAGAGACTTGCAGAAAGAACTTATCAAGAAAAATAAATACCTTTCAAGAGGAGACATATGAGATGCTGCAACTAATTCAAACAACAATGACTTCAAACCACAAAGAAATCCAAAATAACTTTTAAAACATAAACCAATTCATCTCCAACAAAAAAATCCCAGGAAATAACAATAGAGAAGGAGCAGATAAAACAGCTAACTGAACACAAATTTGAGGATAGAGCCTCAAAGATGGAACTTAACACAACAAAGAAGTATGATTTAACCGAAGTGGAAAAAAATTACAAGAAATATTGGTTTTGGAAAAGGCAACTTATACTTTAAGACCACAAAACAAATTTGAGGATAAGAAAAAAGACTGGTCAAAATAGATTGCAGAGACGTCAGGAACACCACTAGAACTGGAGAGACAAAAAATGATAAGTGATACAGAGAGAAAAAGAAAGAAAAAGATTTTCAACAAACATGAAAGAGCAAATACCTCTTACAAAGATATTGTACTTGACTTATTTTTTATATCTACAGTGACACCTACAAGAATATGGAAAGACTCTTTGATTCAGCAGAATATATTGATTAAAGATATTGGGCAAAAGAAGGCGGCAAAGTGAAAATTAAGAAAATAGATGATGGGACTTATCAGAGAGAATATTTAAAAAAGAAACACCTGTTTGAATATGGTTAAAGTAATAGAAAGATTTTGGATATGAATTTTACTTTAAGAGAGAGGAGTCCCTCAAATAACATAGTACTCTCTCTTTCTTCTCTTTTCTTCTCTTATTTCTTGATATGAGAAATATAAAAGAGTTAGAATGGCTTATATATAAGGGCATATTTTAGATATTTAAATGTGATTGGTTTTAAGAAAATTACAATGGATTAAAAATGTTTTGAATAAAAGTTAAAAGACCAGATGACTAGATTTATTAAATGGAATATTTAAAGATTAAATATATTCTTAATTATGGTAAAAAAGAATGGAAAACTTTTGGAAATAAATATGTATTGGCTTAGGGGAAACATGGACTTTCAGTAGTATAATATCTTTTTATCCCTCTTTACTCTTGTTCTTTTTTTCTCTTTTTTTAGTTTTATTTATTCCTTAAGTAAGATAAAAGTTATGGGATGGTTTACATGAAAAAAAAATAGAATCAAATATCTAAATGTAATTAACTTTGAGAAAATCTTAACCAGTAAGAATGTCTTGAATATTGTGGGAAAAACAAATGTAAACAAGAACCATAAACGGGATCTATGATGAGGCAACCAGAATGACTAGATAGAAAAGAAATATTATATTGATGTGATTATTATTTGTGGAAATATTAGGAAAAAAAGTATATTCAATTGTTATCTATCAAAACAATAAGAATTGTATTAACTTAAGGTTGGTAAAAGAGAACATTATGGGAAGAAGAGGAAATCAAGTAAAGCTATTATGTGGATTATAGATCATAGAAACCAATTGTTAGCGAATGTTTTTTAAATGTAAACCCAGTCAACACACTGTTTACCAAATATTAAGGTGACCATGTTAAAAAATTAATAAAATATATTATAAAAATAGAAAGAAAAAAAGAAAGAAAATGTCTTCAGACAACGCTGGCTCCCTCGGACAAGAAATGGAGATGAGGACCACACCCTAGAGTCAGATATGATTGGACAGGAGAACCTTGACATATGTACATATATTTGATGTATTTGTCCAGCCTCAGATTGGGATGCATTCCTCCATATAATAGCAGCCCATGCAATTTTAAAATAGATCATTAGATGAAGAGTAATGCTATACATTTAACAAAGGAGAGTCCATCAGGTTTCCAGTTATTGCTTTAGCCCACACCTTCAATAGATCAGACAAGGTGATTAAGGCTATCCTATCTGGGTTGCTATATTCGACAGTAATTAGATGGAAGCCCAGTCAGCTTTTTTCTGACTCTTTGCTGCCACACCCAGTTGTCAACCGAACAGCTGCTTGATAGTCCTAAAGGAAGGCAGAGTGAGTGACAGAAGAGGCACTAACACTGCTGTGGCTGCTGCAGCAGGTACAAGAAACAGAGCCATTGGAGTCTCTGGAAGCTTCCATGTTGATTGCTCCTGGATGCCCTCTTCCTTTTCTTGTGCTCCTGAAGGAAAAAAGGGAAGGGGGAGTGGCGGCAGCTGAAAGAGACTGAAAACTCTTTGCTGCCCTTTAGCATTCATCCAGAGCTTTCCACCCTAGTTAAATAGATCTAAGGGTGATTGCAGGGGGGCTTCTGAGGGAAGGGTCTTGTATATGCATGGCTGTATTCTGAAGAGGAGGGAGACAGATCCTTTCTGGATCTAGGAGTGAGAATATTTTGACGTGATGCAGGTCAATGATCATTCAGCTCAGGTCTGCTGCCACTAAGGCCCTCTCCATTGAGGAGCTCCATCTGAAAGGCCTCCCTCAGGTCCAAAGGAGCTCTGTTTAAACCCCTGATAGAGCAGACCATTAGCCTTGCTTCAGTTTCATCATTTTGTGTCTCAGATGCATCCCTTCAGGCTGCAGACACAGATTGGATAATAGATCCAGATATTGATGATATAAATTAAGCAGAGGCGGAGACGGAGATGGATAATTATAGAGATAGTGAAGGAGATGGAGATAATAGAGATGTAGACAGAGATGGATAAAGCCCAGAGACAGTAAACTGAGACAGAGTTACACAGATGGAGGCAAAGGTAAGTAGACACAGAAACAGAGGTTGAAATAATTTCAAAATGTATTGAGGATAGATTAGCCCCAAATCATTCAAATGAATTGTATTTAGAGGACTTGTTTTAAAAACAAAAGAGCGTTCAATCATATGTGCTCCCATTTGAAACCTGAAATGCTACAGTTGGCAGTTAACACAACATGGGGTTATACCAAGTGTCTGGAAGGAAGAGAAAGATGTAAGAGAGGAAGCTGTTTTCCTAATATACCCATATTCAGTTAATTCGCTAAAATATATCTTATGGACTTAAGATCATGCATGATCAGGAGCAGCTTCTCCCACATATGATTAAGAAACATAAGGCATGAGAGAAAGAAAATAAAAATAATCCAGAAATATTTAAACATGCAGTTTTATCTTAACTCTGCACTCAATTTCAGTATCACTAATATTAATATATTTTATTTATTGCCAATATACAGAGAAATGCCTCACACATTTTATCAACTTAGAAGAGCAGAAGAGAGTGTAGCACTAACTAGTTTCTGTCCTGCCCCTTGCATCCATTTATACAGCCTGATTATCTTCAGAGGAGGACATTTGAAACCAACATTTGAAATCTCCTTGTGATCTGGAATCCTGTCCATTTCCCTCTAAAGGACACAGGATTAAGTTAGCTTAATCATGTTTTTTTGGCACATCCTAACTCTTCCCACACATGCTGATTTAAATACACAAGATGTTCTTCTGGATATTAGAAGAACACATGACCATTTCAGATGGACAAGTATGGTTATCTATCCAAAAGCAAACAAGAGAATGCAATATACACTACTTACTTTTTGTAGCAGTCACGTTAAGCTTTCCCACTGTATGAGCAAAAGAATAATTTTTAAAAAGTTAAACCAAGGAATGCAAATAATAAATTACTAGATATGAGAAAAGACAGCATGTTTGCAGAAGCTCCAGCAAAAATGAGATTGAGAGTGTTACAAAGCAGATATTTTCTTAAAAGCTATAAACCCTATAGTCTTTCTGCATATCGGTTTCATAAATATAAGAACCATCCATAGGCTATGGGAGAGAGGATATTTACAAAGAGGTATGAAAACAAATTGATTCTGCCTGTATGCCAATATTGTGATATCCACAGTGCAATGAAATACCTGTTAAATTGTTCAGCCATGAGTAGTTTCTTTTGTATTAAAAATATTATACCCTTTTTCTTTACACTTCACATACATGAGGGAACTCAGATTTATCATTCCAATCCAGCACAAATATATCAATAGGTCAGATACCTTCTTAGTACACAAAGGGTCTACCCAAGTGTAAAAATTTCCAAGAAGCAGAAATGATGTTGCATTTGGTTTCACACACATTTACTAGAAAGGTCTAGATCAGGGGTAGTCAACCTTGGCTCTTTTATGACTCGTGGACTTCAACTCCCAGAATTCCTGAGCCAGCTCTGGCTCAGGAATTCTGGGAGTTGAAGTCCACGAGTCATAAAAGAGCCAAGGTTGACTACCCCTGGTCTAGATAATAATATGTTGTTCGTCCATCGATTTCGATGAAGACCTTGACATCTTATGGATTATGGGCCATCAACAGTGTGTCCGTAGATAGCTGATAAGAGCGATGTTAGCACGGAATGTTCTGCCACATACTGAACAGAGAAAAGTGGACACTATTGCTTCAGCATTTGCAGCTCTGGCTTTACGGAGTGCTCGCTTCTCTTGTGCCAAGATTGTCCTTCTGTGTTCATATGTCTGGCAAAAGAAGCGATACAAAGACACGCTGAAAGCATCTCTCAAGTCCCTGGATATCGACACCATCTCTTGGGAGATAATAATACCTATTCTGAAAATGCCAGAAAAAACAGAATTGGGTCTTTACTTTAATCTCTGACAGGTGTGCAATATTATTAGACACTAGCAGCCTTCCTTCTTCCGTGTTCTGTAGGCCCCCTTGGAATTCAACTCCCTGAATTTCCTGAACAAAGGTGAGCCAAAGGTGTACTCTTCTTTCGGGGTGCATGCTAAAAGACCCCAAGGTGCAAGTATTTGCACTAAGTTCATGCAACATACACATATATATCTGGAAACTAGGACATCTGTCAGAAGAAAAAAATGATCACAGAAAAAAATGTGACAATGTTTATGCATAATTTAAAAAAATCTTTGATGTTTAATGGGAGGCACTTCTTTCTTCCTAAACTAAACTAAACAGGTAAGAATCCTTTTTGATTATCAGGTAAATATTCCTATTAGCATCATTCTGGTCCTAAATTCATTCCATTCCAAAAAATCATTTTAAGTCCCATATGAGCAAATTGAGAAATTATATGAAAGGACCCTAATAATGAAAGTTGAAAAGCAACTGGCAAACATAAACTATGGCACTAAGGGAGAAGGATATACAGTATTCAATGGGAACATGGAGTAGAAAATATGTGGTGCTATTAGTGCATGTTCTTTCAAAAGTAAATAAATTGATTTGGACAATAATTTGTATGTCATTCCACTCACTTGGTTCTAATATGTATTATATGACTCTTAGCTTTGAGTTTGCATTTCACAAGTTACAACAAAGTTGCAAATTAGGCTGAAAAGGAAAGGTAGTTTGCAAGTAGCCAGGAATGGATTTATACTTTAAATAAATTAAGTAATTGTGCTTCTTAAAAGGTCATTCTGGAGCTGAACATGGGGGTCAGAGATTTCCCCATTAAGATTTCGTAATTCTAAGTATGCAGAAGCCAACTTTGCATGTGATCCCAAATTGTCAATCCCAAATACGTAGATCTGCCCAACAAAAAAGCTTTCCTATCCATAGCCTCATAAATGCAAAATATATTCAATATTTCACAATAGAAATGAATAAACTGAGCCTGCACATTCACATTGCCATGACATATGACTTCCTCTTTAACAAGAGTTGCTATTTCCAGTTCAGAAGGCACAATCTTATCTGAAATGAAGAACTATTCCCAAGGTTTTCCTTGAATGTTACTTTCTCCAAAATATGTTTTACTTTCCATAACCCCATATTAATGGAACAAGGTCCTAGACAATCCCTAAATCAAAAAGATCTCTTTCTAAAGTAAAAAAAAAAATTAACTTTGGAAAGTCAGTGAGGTTTATTTCTGAAGGAGAGAAAGATTGGAAGGTGTGATGAGAAAAATAAGAAGGGTTTAATGCAAGCCTTAAAAGGTCAGGCACATTGCTCTAAAATGGTCTTCAATGACTTCTACAACATCTTATGCCTTCCACCTGTGATGTCAAGTGTTTTTAAGAGATGGAAGAAGGCAAGGAGTAGCAGCACTGGATTTATGCCAAGTGTCCTTCAAAGTAGATTAGAGTGCAGCAACTGCCTGTTGATCTGCCTGTGATGAGAAGCTCTAAATATAGCAACGCACTTGAGTTAGATGGCATAGTGCTATACAACTGAGACTCTCTGAAGATACACATTACCAAGCTCTGTATTTTCACACCTTAAATTCCGAGATGATACAGGGAGTAAGTAAGTGACATTAGTGCTGATTCAGGAACAGCTTGCTGCCCATCCATTATCAGCAAAAGGAGGAGGAAAGAAAAGGGGATCAAAAGACTGGTGGTAAAGAAAAGCATATAGAAATAAAAAGCATGAGGCTTGCTTCAGTTGAAGCCTAGGTACATTTGATGCTTCTGATCAAAATTTTAAGAATGGTTATAGAAACACAGTTTTGTGAAAGACATGTGACAGTAGCTTGATTTTCCCTAAAATATTGCCTTCAGATTTAAAAGTATAATAATATATGGAAGTTTGCCCTTCCAAAGTTAATTGGCAATATAAAACAGATTAAGCTTGAGTTAGATCTCTATTTCATATCCATACCAGTCCCTAATACTGCATTATTGAGATATAGTTCAGCATGAAATAATTTTAAAATTAATACTAGATTCCATTTTGGCTAGATCAACTCTATTTATCCTATTTAAGGGTATATTCTCTTTCAGCCTTCCTCACCTTGTGGCGTCTAAGAATATTGCAACTGGTGCTTCCAGAATTCCTAAGCAGCATGGCTATTTTATTTCATTTCATTTTACGAAACAGTTAATATATTGGCTATTCTCAGTTTCCAAGTATTCAAAGTATTAATATTCATTGAAATCAGCTGAGAATAGAAATGATATTCCTGGTATATTAGAATTTCTCTAAAGCCTGCTGTGCCTCTGAGCTCATCTCATCTGACAAGGTCTCTTCAAACACTCTTTTTTTAATGAGTGTTTCGTTTAGGTTCTATTCTTCTCTTCAGCACTGCATAGCTGTGCCATCCTGATGTAATCAGGCAATTTACAAAGGTCAAGGAAATGTAAATAAAATCAATCTGAGATTTTGAGAGTAGCTGGTTTTTTTATTATTATTCCGGAACCCATCTGTTTGGCTTGTCTGAAGAATGCTAAGCCCAAAATAGGTACTGTAATCACTACAGTATAAATTAATCTAATGTTTTTAAACACCTTGTCTGTTATTTGGATCAGATATAGCCAAATCCTTTGGGACTAAGAAAGCTAAGGAATAATGATGCAGGCAGGTCATTCTGGGAGACAGCATAGCTTCATTAAGTATCTGAAATCTTCTGCTCTGCTGTTTATTGCCTTTCCAGCCTATAATTTATTTGCTGTTGGGATGGAATAATAGATAGCTAAGACACATTTAATATTCTTGCACTCAAATAATGTAAATACGTTGTGGATCTTCTGTGAGCATTGAACTTTGCTCTCTAAAAGAGGAGCTTAAAATCTTTCACAGGTCAGAATAATTAAAGTCATTTAAAATATGGTAACACATTTAAGGAAGGTAGTAGGAAGTAGAAACAGACTGCCTTCGGATTTAAAAGTATAATATGGAAGTTTGGTCCTCCAAAGTTAATTGACAGTGAATTCCAAATGCAAAATGAAATAAAAATGCCAAGGATGCAGTGAAAATGCTTAGCAGCAGATACAGTCCCACTGCCTATGCTTTTATTTGTATAACAGGCATTTTATTTTAATTGTGAACCTATTGGTGAACAAATCAGCAACATGGTTTATGGGTAAGCTTCGTTGGATCAAATGAAATCATGCAAAAAAGTTCCCAGAAGATTTATATTTTATGTCTCTATACTGCCCATGTCCCTCAAGGGAGATTTGTTTTATATGTCTTTTCTTTTTATATTTATGGATATTGTCCTACAGATTTCAACAGTAAATTTCAGAGACTTCTACATGTATCTACCATACTCCCACAACTGAACTGAAATCTGATTCATTTTCACCTTGATAAAGTTTCCAGGCCAGGTTTTCCGAGTAATGAAGGTATACTATACTAAAACGTGTAAATAAATACCTATCTCTGGGTCCAAGTCATACTATAATGATTATAGAATTAGCATGTTTCTGTATTCCATCCTAAGTGGCTAAGTATTCCACCCTAAGTATTCCATCCATCCTAAGTGGCTAAGCATCTAGATTTTCATTTCTTTTCCATATTTTTAATAATGAAATAGCATTATAATAGGAAGAAAAACTATAAATAAAATGCTCCTTGAGAGAAATAGAAATGGATAGTAAATGGACAATTTATCCATCAGTTCTCCCCAAGCTACTCTGAAAAGAAATCAGAGACAGCCTAAATTAATTAAAGGTAGAATCATTCTTATGGCTATGAAAGTTGGACCATAAGAAAGGCTGAGCGCAAAAGAATTGAGGCTTTTGAACTATGGTGCTGGAAAAGACTCCTGCAAGTCCCCTGGACTGCAAGGCGATCAAACCGGTCAGTCCTAGAGGAGTTCAACCTTGACTGCTCTTTAGAAGGCCAGATCCTGAAGTTGAAACTCAAATACTTTGGCCACCTAATGAGAAGGAAGGACTCACTGGAGAAGGGCCTAATGCTGGGAAAGATTGAGGGCAATAGAAGAAGGGGACGACAAAGAATGAGGTGGCTGGATGCAGTCACTGAAGCAGTAGGCGTAAGCTTAAATGGACTCCAGAGATGGTAGAGGACAGGAAGGCCTGGAGGAACGTTGTCCATGGGGTCGTGATGGGTCGGACACAACTTTGTAACTAACAACAACAAGAATAATTCTTATAAGCCAGTGATGGCGAACCTTTTAGAGACCGAGTGCCCAAACTGCAAACCAAAACCCACTTATGCATCGTCGGGTGCCGGGTGGGTGTGGCCCATTGGCTGGGCGTGGCTGCGGAGGTAATGGCAGACTGGGACTAAAAAGTTCAATCAATCAAATCCAACTTTGCAAGATCTTTTTTTTTCGCGAGAAGTTGAAATTGACTGATTGATTGAATCTTTTTTTAATATATACATGGCGACAGAGGCCTAAAGCGAAAAGGTTTTATAAAACCCAGCTGAAGGCCTAGGACTGGGGCGATGGTGCGCGTGCCCACAAAGAGGGCTCTGCGTGCCACCTCGGGCACCCATGCCATAGGTTCGCCACCACTGTTATAAGCCATAACAGACATGCCATCATATTTTATGAAAGATTGGAAGAAAATTGCCACAAGCTGGAGAAAAAACCATGGAAGTAGCAAAGAAAATACTGGAATGGACTGATTTGGAGCCAGCATCATATGGAAGGGACTGGTTTGGACAAAACTCAGCAGCACTTTTTCATGCAGCTGCTGATAAAAACAGGATCGCCAACATGATCGCCAACGTCCGATAACGGATATGGCACAAGAAGAATCATATGGAAATTCAGTATGAAAAAAGAAATAAAAAATAGAAATTTCAGAGAAATGGAACCAAAGGTGGTGTTTCTCATCTAATGGACATGATTAGTTTGGTAGGCACTAGAAATGCACAGATAATCGTGCAAAAGATTAATCAGTACTCAGTTTGGGGGAAATATTTTCTTAATGAATTATTTTTTCCTGATAATATATATCCTAAATCATGGGTTCCCAACCCCTGGTCCGTGGACCAGACCACACAAACAAGCAAAGCCCCATCCGTGGGATGCAGGCAGCACACAAAACCATGCTCCCTCCGGTCCGCGGAAAAACCTCTCTCCACGTAACCGGTCCCTGGTGCCCAAAAGGTTGGGGACCTCTGTCCTAAATTACAGAACTCTGAAATTAGTTTTATGGCACTATGGTATTTGTTTGCTTTTGCTGTTTACATTACCTATGTTGGTTTCAATACTGTGTCATACTGAGCAGTCTTCTTGGAATGTCTGTACTGTACTCGTTTTTATTGATATCATTGTCAGTATCAGACATCAAATAGGGTAAGATATTTATTTCCCTGTTCTGGATTCATGCTTGGTATAGATCTGCTTCAAAATCTGAAAGCTTTGTATTGATTTTTGTTTGTTTCTCTCTGTATTAGAAATGACATTGACACATGGATCCTTGTTCTAAATTGTCAGCTGCCTGCAGGCCACTTCTAATAGCGTCACAGAAATGAGTCGTGTAAATCTCTGTAAGTAAGTATAAGGAGAAAACATAGCACTGTGATAGCATTAGGAGTAAGAGCCCAACATCAGAGATATAGTTCTATATCTAGATTCTAATGTGGATGCGGTAGACTAGACCTAACCTATAATTTTATATGTCACTTCAGCAAACTGTTTTATTACCATCACAGCGGAAAAACAATTATCCTTCCTTTTAATCGTTATTTAGTAAATCTTTGCACAGGGCTTTTCCTATGCAAAGTGTTGCATCGATTACATATAGCACTAAATTTGCCTTCAGTTTGCCAAATTAATGTTATTTATTTATTTGATTTATATAGTCTTCTATCTTACTTTTATATGCTTACAGTAAATATATAAAACACACAATATAAGAAACAAACATTTAAAAAAATCACATAGCAGCCAGGCATAATCTAACATAATCGTTCACATAACCAAGATATGGGCTTTAAACCATGCCTTCTGGATCTAGCTAACCAACATTTCCTAGTCCAGGCGTGGCTGGCTCAGGAATTCTGGGAGTTGAAGTCCACGAGTCATAACAGACCCAAGGTTACCTACCTTTGCCCTAGCCGATAGTATCCAGCACATGCCCTTCTTGCCAGATCAGACAGGAGAGGTGGAAGCAATTTAGGTTTTTATACTTCAGAAATAAAGAAATTCAGATTTCCCCTGTATCTTTCTGAAATTTAGATCACTGCCTGACCACTCTGCCAGAGACTTTGCACAGCATGTCTTTTGTTTTTGTTTTTTTTTCTTTCCTTGAATGGATTTCATTAACTCCTGATACTGCAATTATTAAAGAAAAATGGGGTCCATAGATTTTTCTATGAGTTCAGCTGTGTGTGGGGGGGGGGCTATATCGTCTTCTCAATTTCTGCAGCTGCATGCATCAATTTATGAATATAATTACATATAGCACCACTGGAACGAAACATATACACAGCCAATTCCATAATGGTTAAAATTCCTTGAGGATCAGCAGAAGCAATATGTAACTCGTAATTCTGAAAATTAGGAACTAAATCAGAGCATTTAAAGCTTAAAACACTAATTGCAACTTAACACAATGAATATTTACCATTATGACAAATAGGGTGGCACAACAGCATTTAGTTCTTAAATTGTTTTTTTGGATAAGCTAAAGAGATGCATCCATCAAAGGCAGACAGCAATATATCTTGCCTAACACCAAGCATTTGGGGACTAATTGTGAATTCAGCTCTACCTTCTATATTTATATTTTACAGGAAACTATCATCTCACTTTGGGACAAAACTATCATCTTCAGGTGCTTCAGTCTCATTAAGGTAAGCACTGATCTGCTTCTTATTACCTTCTCATACTGCTTCCTACATGGTAGTTCTACTCTTACCTTATTCCAGTGATGGCTAACCTTTTAGAGACCGAGTGCCCAAACTGCAACCAAAAACCCTCTTATGTATCATCGGGTGTCAGGTGGGCGTGGCCCATTGGGTGGGTGTGGCCCATTGGGTGGGCATGGCTGCAGTGGTAACAGCAGACTGGGTGGGACTAAAAAGTTCAATCAATCAATTCCAACTTTGTGAGATCTTTTTTTTCCCACAAGAAATTGAAATTGATTGATTGATTGAACCTTTTTTTTTTTTTTGCACACGGTGGCAGGGCCCTAAAGCGAAAAGGTTTTATAAAACCCAACTGAAGGCCTAGGACTGGGGTGATGGCACGCATGCCCATAGGGAGGGCTCTGCGTGCCACCTGTGGCACGCATGCCATAGGTTTACCACCACGGCCTTATTAAATCATACCATGCTAGATCTCTAAATACCTCACACTTATGGCTTCTTGGGTGACCAAGCAAAATTTTGCTTGGAAATTTTTCAAGGAAACTAATTAATTAATCTAGCACCCTGTTTCTAGATATTCCTGAAAGAATGAGACATTCTGGCCTTTATCTAAGAGAAGGTATATTTACAGAAAAAATAATCTAGAATGGAAATATATTTAGAGCAAGAATTAAACAATTGTACTACTGGTCATACTTAAATGGTAGCCAGTTTGCTTCAGTGGTTAAGACACAAGACTAGAAATTGGGAGAACATGATTTACTGAGCATGAAGCCAACCGGGTGACCTTGGACCTGGAGGAGAATTGAGCCAGCCACTGTCTCTCAGGCTTTGGAAGAAACAAATGGCAAACCACTTCTGAAAAATCTTGCCAAGAAAAATGCAGGGAATAGTTTAGGTCAGGGGTAGGCAACCTTGGCTCTTTTATGACTCGTGGACTTCAACTCCCAGAATTCCTGAGCCAACCATGCTGGCTCAGGAATTCTGGGAGTTGAAGTCCATGAGTCATAAAAGAGCCAAGGTTGCCTACCCCTCGTTTAGGTAGTTCCCAGGAGCCAATGCTGATTCAGGCACCAAAACAACCACCACCACTCTCTATACCTGCTAGAGTTATAATAAGTTTTTTCTGGGAGCATATTTCTCATTTTTAATTATTTATTTATTTATTACAAAACAAAATGGAGACATTGGTCATATATTTATTCTCAGTCCATTCTAAAAGTGGGAGGTCCTTTAAATTATATTAGTTGACTAAAAACCTGAATCCTTACATTTTGTCAAATTTACGAGTAATCCTGGATTCCAGTGAGTAAAATTGATTCAATTTTAGTTTCGTAACTTAAACCTGGTTGCTATGACTTCGTCTGTGAAAGACTTCTTAGATAAAGAAGATGAGTCAGGTGACCTCACTAAGCTCTCTGGATCAGATGAGCCAGACTCAGTGGTGGGATTCAGACGGTTCACACCAGTTTGGCAGAACCTGTAGCTAATTTTTTGTTGAGTTCTGGCCCAGGCCCAGAATGGACTTTCAGAAGCAGCATCTCATCCAGTGAGTGGTTTCCCTTGGAATCTTGAACCCTGTCTAACCTCCCTGATATCTTCATTTCTGCAGCTTGGAGGCTAATTTTCATTCTCTCTTGTCTTTGTTTTCTGGAATCTCAGCATGGATCTGGAGTAGTCTGGCTTTGGTTTTTGGACCAGCTTAGCAACTTATTGTGTATTGTTTTGATCCTGAGCAATATTTTGGATTTAGACTCCAGATGACATAGTTAAGCTTTCCTTTATCTCCATCCCCAGCCCTGACCCAGGATTCAATACTAACATCAGTTTGAATAATAGTATCTATTTTGGTCAAGATACTCTGTAAAAAATCTCTGAACGTTTCTTTATAGAAATTAACTGAACTTACCTTCAGCAGCTGGAAGAACAGCTGGGATTGCTGGGATCTGCTTCAAAAATAGGGGGGGATACGATCCTGAACACAAGAGAGACATGAAAGGCTATTAATTATAATAATATGCAAATAATACATAATATATAATGAAGTATATTTGGAGACCACTTTTTTTTAAAAAAAACCAGTCCCTCAGGAGATTGGAGTTTCTTCTGAATTGCTTGTCTATATTATTAAGCACCTTCTAGAAATAAAAGAGGGCAAAACAAATGAAACAGTTTGATCTGAAGTTTTAGATTAGTGAGCATGAAATCATAGGAGTTAAAAATGCTGACTTATTTGCTGATCACTTTGTACTCAGGGTTAAAAAAACATCAATCAGTATAATCAAGCATCACACATTTATAGCCTAAAAGCCCTTTTCCTTCTGCTTGTAGTAGAAAGGGCTTTTCTAATTCATGAACGTCTACTGGGTTATGGAGACGTAAACTCTTTAATAGCTGCTTTACTTTGTGTGACATATTACCAAGCCTTTGTAGAAATGTCAGCATGAAAGCAATTGCAAAGTAACATGAGCAGATGACGTAATTTTAAGTGAAAGAGATTGTCATTTTATGAAGAAAGGGAAAAGGTAGAATTGCTACTGTCCACATTTTGGGTTTTGCCCACAGACAAAAAAAACCCTCTGCATGTTCTACAAGTGCCCCAGGTGAACCATTCTAGAAAGTGGATAGCATAGGCCAGGGGTAGGCAACCTTGGCTCTTTTATGACTCGTGGACTTCAACTCCCAGAATTCCTGAGCCAGCATGAATTCTGGGAGTTGAAGTCCACGAGTCATAAAAGAGCCAAGGTTGCCTACCCTTGGCATAGGCAATTTCACTGGACTCAAAACCAAAGCTAAAGGGAATTGTTTCTCCAGGATCAAGGGCAAAATCAGGGTTAATTTGGTTAGGAAAACCTTCATTCACTCTAGCAGAGTAACTCAGACTAAAATGTTTTTCCTCTCCATTCCATATGGGGCATGTTACCAACCAGCTTAGCAATAAATGTCCTCTGCACCTGCTACTTTCTCTTTTGAACATGAACCCTATGTTTTCCTCTTTCATTCTAATAAAATATATATAATAAAATACTTTGGTATAACTTATTTCTTCTACTAATTTCCATACATCTTGAAAGCAGGTGTGAATGCACAAAAATGATTAGTAATATAAATCAGGATTATGACAGCCAAAGCTTTGAAGTTTTGAGCTAATACAGTCGAAATGCATTCATAAAAATGTGTGCCTGTCGTATTAAGCCACTTTATTACACACTTTTAAGAAACCTTTACCTTGACAAATTTGCAACATATTTACACTGACAAACGAACGGCAATACAGTTTTCATCTTCTACATTTCAACTTTGAACACCTGCTCAGGCCGCATGCCCACTCTCAAGTGGGAATTTAAAATCTCAGTTTTTAAGGGAGATATAAGTTATGAAATATATGATGCAATTTCTGGCTGAACATGGATGAGGTCATTCTGGTAGATTTTCATCCTGAAAGGAATTTCAACGTGCTTCAGTTTGACAAGGCTTTGAACCAAGCAGTCCCTTGAAGCTGTTTAGTGAAGCTTGCCTGGTCTGGTCCCTTTCAAAAGTTAAATGATGTAGCTATGTGGCTTTGCTTCAGTGACTCCCTTGGTTTTCTCTCACAGAGCCTGCAGTATAAAAGAAGGCTGACAGGAACTTCTTCGGTGAGCACTGTGGGAGAAGGCTGAGCTGTATATTCTCCATATTTTATCTAAGAGGATTCACAGCCTGGGCACCACCAGCATGGGCTGTGCAGAATCCCAGAATCGATGGAAGGATGACTAAATCAAAGAGTCCATAACCATGGGGGGGGGGAGATTTAACCCACAGCTAGTTTGAAGTCTCCTCTTCGATATGAGAGGACTTCAAAGCTTTCCAGTTTCAGTTCAGGAGAAGGGCAACACAAAGAGATTCCCAAGCTGAATGATAGTTATAGATTGTAAAAAACCCTGAAGCCCATCCTGTAGATAGCCAGCACCAAACTCTCTTCTTCCAGCATGAAATGGATTTCAGAGGTTCAGACCTTCTGGTCAACCAGTCTGTTCCACAGAATTGAGCAATGGTATCATGGGCAGTTTTGAGTATTTGCACAAGGTATCCAACTTCTATTGCACTTAAGCAATGATGCCACAGACAACCCACAGCCTGAAATCTATCTTGCCTACCTTTTTCTTTCCCTCCAGTATTTGATGACCAAACCTTCTGACCAACAGAAATATAGAGAAAGGGCAGATGGGTTAGTTATAAGCCCATTTCCCCAGAAAAGCCTGTATAAGAGTACCACAGCCTATCAAAATGTAAGAACTGTACATTTCAAACATTGCAGCTCAGTAAACTTCATACTTTTTTCTCCCCGCGCTCCTTATAACTAGGAGAGGATTGGGTTTAGTCTGAAATTAAAATCTTGAATATCAGTATCTATCCAACTCTATTATGATAGTTCAGATTTCAGATATTGCATTATAATGGGTAACTTTGCCTCTCTTGTCTCCCACTTGCAGCAAGTTGAATCCATTCAGCTCTGCTCTGAAAATGCTATCCAAATGTCTGGAACAGGTCTGGGTAGAAACAAGTGACTGAAGAATTGTGAGAATTGGGTAAGAAATTGCAAGTGGATTTCAGCATGCTCTTCCTGTCTCCAAAAAGGAAACAAAGACAGGAGCAGGGCATGTATACATATTTGCATCTTGTGTTTATGTCTGCAGATGTTTTACATGTTGTATGTTTGCAAAGTTTTATCAGAAAAAATAATGTGATTCATTTATACATTACATATTGAAAAAGCATAATGCACCAAAAAAATTCAAAAGTGGTCCAGACAGTTTTGTAAAAACAGGCTGAATCATTTTTCAGGAAACAGCACATTTTCCTAGGAAATAATTTAACATTCATTTCTTTTTATAACTCATATTTTCTACCACCTGATCACTACATAATTTTAAATAACATTCTTCTCCTGTCTCATTTGCTTTGAATGCTTAAAACATAAGATAAGCCATCTTAAAAGTTTTCTAACTTTGTAAATTACAAAGTTACAAATTAGTCAATAGCAAATGAGAGCATTTTCTGTGAAGAGGATCACCAATCTGGGACAATATTGGCCAATAATAGTAATCTCTTTGTTGATATTTTTATTTTCAGCATTATCATTCTATAGTCTCCAGAGCTTGCTTAACAAACCACAGGACAAAGTTTAAAAGACATGTTATTCTTCTTTTTATGTGACCATGTCATTTTTGACTGAAGGCTCTAGACTGGAACAGCATCTAGACTGCAAGGAATCTCACAACTCACATGGGAGATTCCAGCCCAAAGGATCATTTTGTACCATTTGTACCATTTTGGTACAACATAATAACTTTCCATTTAAACACAATTATATTTAAAAAGCCAAATTAGCATCTCAAGTACAACTTCTTTAATAATCTCTCCACTATTTTTTCCCCCTTTGGGGACAAATAAGAATTTAGGGTCTAAGCAGTTCTCTCTAAAATATCCTACAGGAAGCCTTAGTCAGAACCCACAAGATTAGAGATATTTAAATGTGTTACGTAACTAGGTTTGGGATAAAGGGGATTATAAACAACATTACTTCACACCTGATAGATAGGTGGAGGTTGATATTGCCAGTGGATACAGAACTTAATGAGAATAAAACTTTTGAAGGAACGAAGGGAAATTTAGTCTTGAACAAACAGTTTAAGAAAGTGATGGAAATCTCAAGGAGCCATAACATAATCAGGATAGAAGAATAGCTAGGTGTAAAGATGTATAAGTCGGCAAACCATGACTACAAGAAAACCAATAAAGACAAGAAGGCAAAGAAAATTCCCATGGTTAACCTAAACCAGGGGTAGGCAACCTTGGCTCTTTTATGACTCGTGGACTTCAACTCCCAGAACTCCTGAGCCAGCATGGCTGGCTCAGGAATTCTGGGAGTTGAAGTCCACGAGTCATAAAAGAGCCAAGGTTGCCTACCCCTGACCTAAACCAATCTTCCAATGGCAGGAAAAGTGAATTAAGAAGAAAATCAGGGTAAAGATACAGAAAGTTGAGGCCTGGTGGAAGTCAAATAAAAGACCTGGTTACCACTATTTGCAATTATAACATAATTGGACTAATTGATGTTTGCAGATATTTTTCCCAGAGTGATTTGAGAATGAGTGTGTACAATAAATACACATAACATTACAGAAATAAGGCAGCTTTTGCTACCATGAAAAGCAGCAGGAAAAAGAAAAGAGCAGCAACTGTTTATTAATTGGTCTGTTTTATTAGGAAATTGGGCATTCTCAGTGTCATTGGAAATAACTATCTCACTGCAAAAAAATGTACTGAACATATTAATTAATTCTCTCTGTGAAGAACATGCATTGTAAAATGAAAAAGGCTAACAGCCTCAAGGGTTGTGTAAATTCAAATAATGATCCAGCTGCCTGCCAAAACGTCTAAGTCCAGCTTTTCACTCAACTATATCTTTCTTATTAGTTTGTAGGGAACCTTGAGGAATAGGGGCAACAAATGACAATATATGCATAGGGAGATCATCACATAAACGCTGTGAATTGCATATTTGTATCAGCTATCAGGATACAGTGGAAGTCTTTGTGTAATAAAACCACTGGCATCATTTTGGCATCATCTTGGTTTGCTGTGAACACTGCTGGCTTAAAAGTAGATTTCTCATAAATAATGAGATCCCATTATTACAGCTATCTTTGGAAGCAGGGGATTCGATACAATTCCAATTGCAACAGAGTGCTACACACAGTTTGCAATCAAAATGCTTAATGAAAATATTCTGGCTGATATCTTTCACACTACAGGATACCATAAGGTCAGTTTGTCCTGTGGGGAGACTATAATACGTCTAGTGAGCAATAATAAGCACCAGTGCAATTAATCATTTGCATGCTTATAAAATCTAATAGATTAGCTATTGACCAGAGAAAGATAATTGGACGTTCTCCCATTCTTACTATCAGTATAGTATAGTTATTTTTG